GGGGGGGGGGGGGGGGGAACCACTGCATTTGATAGAACCAATAATTCACCATGATGCGAATGTGATACACACGGAAATGGACAATGATTGTCACGTGACAACTCAGACTTACTCATGCATCAAGGCTGGTATTTGAGGCATCAAACCCAAGAAGAGATGAGCACAGGCTTGACAAGCCTCATCATTCCACGATGGCGGGATAACAGGCTGTGTACTAAACGGGAATATGTCAGCCGTGGGTCGCGGCTGTAGCAGTTTCTTCAACGAGTTGATGGCGAAAGCCTAAAGAACGAAATCCGAAAATTATGTTGAGCATAAGATGTGATATTCAATCTTCATCATGAATACCCTAGCGGCAGTAATGACTTAAACAATAGCCACTAAGGTCAATAAGACGATGTAAAGGCACTGGGGGATCTTGTTCACTGTCCCGCTGTGGCTATTGCAGATGAAACAAGGTCAGCGAATAGGTCGGCAACCCAGTACAGCTCACCTCGATGTGATCTTGCCATCCTGTATTCAAAGCAACAAGCTCGCGTGTGGCCGAAAGGGCAGCCTTTCGAACCTCAGTATCATCGACTGCGCAGAAGTTGAGAAGCATATACAATAAATCCTCCCGTTGTCCGACTGGACGAAGTTCAATTAGGGTACGCAGTACCTGTTACAAATGGAAAAAGGTCGAGCGTAAGGAGATAAGATTCCGATGGAAAACAGTTCACGAGGCCGATCTATTCTTGCTCAAATACAACTGGCTTAGGGTAGACACGATTGGTAGGTTCTCAGCGAGGATCAGTAGCCGATCAAATTTAACTTGGACGAACGGAATCCGACATACCCTCCATAAGGAGATTGAAGTATAGAAACCGATTAACACACTGGAGGAACAACAATCCATAAAAAATCGTTCAGCTGTAGCCCCTTTCCGGTGCCTAGCTGTCATACCATCCGAAGGTTGCACGACGGCTGGGATACTGCCAGGTTGCCCAAGCCTAGACAGGAGAAGTCGAGAGACAGAGGTCGGGTTCAAACCACGGACCTTTTGGTCAGTAAATTCGCGCTCTAACCACTTGGGCCATTTCGCCCAATCCATAAGCAGTTCATGAAGCTGGAGATATTCACATGATGAGTGAATCTCCCATTTGAGGAGCCAGTCAACCTGTGTGACCTAGTTATGTGGATTTCGTGACCTAAAGATGAGTCGCACCATATCCTGTGTAAGTGAGAGCTAACTACATTCCTGATCAGCCGGTAATGGACAAAAACGGCTTTGTTCAAACTGCTAGTCAGGAGGTCACAGGACGAAAACCCTCTGAGATTTTGTGGGATGTGCACTGCTGATGAAACAGAGTTGTACACCGTTTCTCGGCTTATCAGCACACAGGACGAAATCCCTGTTTCAGGAAACCTGTGGACTGACCAGAAGTCTTTGGGTCAGGTCCACTTGTTGCACATACTAGGAATTCTCGTGCATTTAGCCGCGAAAGGTTAATTCTACAGCAAGACCTCTGCTACAGCTGCGGAGTGTGATGGAAAATTCTGCCGCTGAGTGCCATGGCACAGTTGGAACGGGGCCTATTTTTTTCCTAACAAATCTACAATAAAAGATGTCTGAAGTAGTTTGGAACCAACTGGGACATGTCATCCATCTAGAGGCCACACAGCAGTTGGGCCTCTCAAAAACGAGGAAATCCGTTTTATCTGCGCGCGAAACATCTACGTGAGTCGATCAGAACTCACCTGGAAACCGTAGCCTGCTTGGGAAGCACTCCAGCAATAGCGTTTCAGGACACTCAAAGCACCGGCAGTCAGAAGTGGAGCCTCTATTAGGAGGCGCCCGAAGTAGCTAAAAGACGGGGAAAAAACGATGGAATTCGAAGACAATTGAGCCAATCTCTTTCGAACTAGGGGCCATTTCATTTGTGCGGAATCGAACAAAACAGCTTGGAGGCGGTTATTACCCGTTCGTAGTGAGCTATATAATGTGGGTAGTGGCTATGAACCGCCAACTTAGCCGCAGCTTGAGGGAACTGGGGAGAGTATAATTAAATCAACTCTGATCCGCGTACAGAAGAGAACCCCATAGGAAAGATAATGATTCACCAAACACCATTGGAGTTCAAAGGTGAGGAGCCGAAATTGTGGATTAGTTTATTGGGTTTATCGGCTGCATAAAATACGATTGCATTGTGAGAGGTGAAAGATATCGTAGAGCTGTAACACCCTTTCGATGCCTAGCTAACATGCCACCAGGAGGCACGAGGGCTAGGATACTGCCAGGTTGCCCAAGCCTAGATAGGGGAAGTCGAGAGGCAGAGGTCGGGTTCGGACCTTCCGGTCAATAAATTCGCGCTCTAATCACTGACCCAGGTGAAAAAGTAGTCACTATCAAGGCACACGCAATGATTACGAACCTGTCATATGTGGCAGCCGAAACTGACAAGGTGAGATCGAATGGCCCCTGTAAAACTCCATTCTAAATGCCTGATATCACTCTCGACTTCCTATCACTGCTTTATCCGCAGTATCACTGGTACTATTGGCTGAAGTCTCCCCGTTATTTGCGTTGATCAACTTCCAAAAGTTGACTCTAAGCTGACAGCGGTAGAACTACCCCGCTGATGCTCTTACGCTCCAACAGCTTTGTGCTGTTCACAGGCTACCGATCCACTGTTAAGAAATATCTCAAAAGCCTCGGGAATGGGCGTCATCAGTTTCACCCTCCATCTCATTTTTCCCAAAGGGAAAGTTGCTCTTCTATGACTAAAGTTATCAATCAGATGCTGCCTATGGCGATAGTGAAAACCGTTGATTGCAAAGAATGACAGACCACTGTCCATCAAAAATCAGGGGAAGACGGTGAGGGAGGTTCATTGTGCAACCTCTGCTTTGCTCGCAAAGATAAGCTGTTCAACTCCGCTACTAATATGCCCTAAATAAAGATGGAACATCTGTGGCAAACGAAATAAAAAGACGGGCTACCCAACCGTACGGCAGTGGCAAGCCATCCTCACCTCTGGCGGACGTCCGGATGTGAGAGTCGCTGAAGTACATCGATCAGCAGGCAATCGTAAAACGATAAGCAGCCAAGATCATCCGGGGACGAAACCAGGCGGGCTTTGCTGTCGCGTGGTTCCGGTTTTATCGTCTTTAGGGCAGATTGCTTGTTATCTACACCCTCACTGCTGCCTGAAAGCCCCCTGGGTGAGGCAGTCGGAGAGTCAAGAAATTGACCAGAGTCTTCAGTCACCTGATCGTCCGTAGAACCGGCAGCGTCCCGGCTAAAGTCCCGCTCTAATTCTTCCTCCGACAATGGATTGGAAAGTTCTGGCTCACGCTCACTGACTTCGGTTCCCCGCTTGAGCTCGTCATCAGCAGAATCATCAAGACCGCCCCCAGTAGATGTGCTGGGTTTCCGAGATCTGCCCCTCAAACGTGCCAGTTGTCGACGTCGAGCAATCAAAAAGTTACCGAATTCCGAGAGTTGAAAGCCACGAAAACGACAATACTCTTGCATGAGTAATTTGGATAAAAGCTCAAATCCGTGGCGTAGATTTTTGATGGCATAATCAATCAAAACTAAATAGAATGAATACAAGGGGGGCGGTGTACGATAGTGAGGAAGAGTGCAGAGAAAGACACGAATGAACAGCTGGGCTGGAGGCAGAGTTGAGAAGACGAACATCCAGGGAACACTATGAGTATGAAAAAGTAACATGACAAATACCGCGAAATGTTCGTGCGCCTATCGAACTTCATTGTGAAACTAAGTGATGGAATTGAAGTAGGCACGGACAAACAGCGTTCATTTGAGGAGTCAATCCCGAGAAGCAAACGGAAGACCAATGGTTTTTTTTATCCAGTTCATAATTGAGTCCATCAAAAACACTGATCAGCCGCTCGCCTGAGAGGACCAATTCAGAAGACCATGCTCCATTTCTAGCTCTCGTCGAGCAACCCCTTTCATCTTTGGTACGAGTGTGAGCTCCCCCATTCTTGGGTGAGAGCCTTGGTCTAATTTGAGGTGGCTCTAGAGCTCAGTTCCTTGAAATTGCCACTCCTCTTAATATGACCAACTGCGGTTGATGAAATCATACCAGGAAGAGGGCGTACGGTCGCAGTCGCATGTTTCAAAAGTGCCAGTTGCACGCCCGATTAGAGAGACAGAGGTCGTAGAATGAGGCAGCTTTACCAGAAAAACCAATTTGGTGATGAAGCCACGTTCGTAGTAGTAGGTAAGGCATCATTAACGGGGATTCACCAGCCGAAATGCAGCAGTTAGGATCGACTTAAAAAAGAGTATACGGCGAACCCAGCGTATCAGTGGGCCCCACACGCCTTCTAGCAGGCTTGTGGCTGTTACGTTAATTGAGTTAAACCTGTATTTGACCTGCCAACGCTAGCATGACGGTTGCAACGAATAGCATGGCAGAAACAATTTGGTGATGAAGCCACGTTCGTAGTAATAGGTAAGGCATCATTAACGGGGATTCACCAGCCGAAATGCAGCAGTTAGGATCGACTTAAAAAAGAGTATACGGCGAACCCAGCGTATCAGTGGGCCCCACATGCCTTCTAGCAGGCTTGTGGCTGTTACGTCAATTGAGTAAAATCTGTATTTGACCTGCCAACACTAGCATGACAGTTGCAACGAATAACATGGCGGAAAAGGCCGAAGTGGCAGAAAAGGTCGAAGTAGGGATCAATTGAATTGGGATGAGTAGTGTTCAAACTCACTGCTGTAGAACTCATTCCCACCGAACCGACGGGTGGTTAAACGGGTAAGCAGTTTCATTCTACACAGCTGCTGTGTTGTCGACCCCGGTTCCGTTCCCCCTATGCTGGTTAGTAGGAGCTGATTGTCCGTACCAACGGGAATCCGGCGTGCTGTCGAATCTTCGAATCCATCCAAAATACGCTGAAAGGCATCCCGGGCCAGCTGACGTTGGAGTGCGCGCGGCAATGGCGTGGTGACCGCGTCCAGAGAGAATGGTCGAGCTGGAATAGTGCTTGCCGGAGCTGAGAAAGTAAAACAATTTTGGTGTGAATGAACGTCACTGGATTTCGCCGCAATCACTCTAGTTTTGTGACAAGAGTTGAAACAGAAACAAAGCACTTACGAACAATCTCTGGAATTGACACAGGCACCGGAATTGTTGGAGCGGTCGCAACCATTGGTCCGAAGGCGGCACTAGCGGATGGCACGGAATGCGGTGGCACTGCGCTCAATGGTGGGGGAGGCTGTGATGGGTCGAATGTAGGTAAAATCACATTCGATCCGCCAAGGCCTGGTGGCGGAACGTTTGGTGGGAACATGGGTGGCAGACCGGAGATTGGGGCGGAAGTCAATCCACCCAAAAGTGCATTGTCCAAGTTCGAAGCTGAACTAACCGGGATTGGTTGTTGGCCATAGTTGATCACGGTGGAAATGTTCATTGGTGCAGCGCCATGCATTCGACGAGCTGCGTTTGCCCGAATCATGGCGTCTTCATCTTCCGCATCATTATCCGCACCAGGTTTGTCCCCGACAGTGGTCTTAAACAAGAAGGTTGAAAAAATGGAATAAGAAACAAGTGACTCGTGAATTCACACAGCTATTCGTCAACAAGTGTCAGGGGGGGCGATAGGGTTGACAAAACATACGAGACAGGAAAAGTTGGTGTTTTCCGACAAAACTGCCAGTCGTTCTGGGTGATGGTCACCACATCCAGAGTCAGTCGTAAACCGATTGTGGCAATCGCGGAATTCGAGGTTACGATCCACTGGACAAGCAGTTTGAGGCATGTACCACTTACTAAGAATGGTCCGGGTTTATTGTGAATACCAGTCATTCGCTTCAGCTCTGCTAGCCGGTTAAGGATGAAGTGTAATCAATAAGAAATAGCTGTTCGACTGTAAAACAGTTCCGTTGCGTAGCGGACACTCGAAGGAAGCAAAAGGGCTGAGATACCGTCGGCTTGCCCAAGCCCAGACAGTCGGTTCAAACCATGAGCAGCTATACACCGGTGTTCAGTCAGGGGCTTCCACATCAATTGAAACCAGCCCTGAGTTAAAAGTGGTAAGCAGCTGTCGGCTGGTGTCTAGAATGAGTACCGACTGGAAATATCCACGAGGAAAAATAAATTTATTGGCTAATCGGAGTGAGCCTGCTGACAGGTTTTGTAATGTGTCAAAAGAGGCCACAACTCGATAAAGGCTTATACCTGCGAACGCGGCTGGGAAAGTCAGCAGACCTTAGCCCACCCACGCAATTACTAACCAGACTGTCCTTGGACTATGTGACCCATGAGTAGTCACATCACCTATGAAGGTTCAGGGGACAGACTGCTTCTAGGACAAAGACCGAGTGATTGCAGACCATCCAACCGATGTGGTAGACGAGTTCCTTCGTCTCCTATGAACTGGCAGACCACAAAGTCACCTCACAAGCAGGGAAGGATAGAATAGCTTCTACTGTCCACCGACACTTACGGCAAAGGCACGATGTCCCGTTCCAATGCAAGGACAGAGTATGCCCTGAAGCGGTCTGATCTATCACGCTTTATGGAATGGGGACATAATCTTTGTGAGCAGATGGTTTACAGAGGTCCTCAGTATCTCCGAAACCCTAATCTAGTGGTGTTAAGCGGAACTCCATAAGGATCCCTCTTTACCGCTCGCACTCAGGTGCTGCTACGGCCGAGAAGCCCATCCCACGCAAGACTGCTGTGGTGACTCTTCTCCAGAGGAGTCCGTCTCCAAGATTTAGCACAGCACGTGGTACTGCCGACAGACCATCTTTGTGTTGTACGTTAGGTTTCGACTCTGTCTACCGCTTGCATGGTCGTGCTCATCTGCATACTTCATGCATCCCTCTGGCCGTGTATTTGTGCGAAACCTCGATAGAGTTCATTCCATACAGGCTTACCCATACTCTTCCGCATCATCCCTACGGTCCCTTACAGCGGGAACAAAACTCTGGCGAAACGAACTGAATTCGATAAGAAAAGTAGAAAGAGAGAAAGAGGAGGTGATCATGAGAACAATTTACCACTCGGCGTTTCTTAACTCGAACTCCATCCTTCAGTCCCGCGGCATCTGAGGCATCCAGCTTAGAGGGTCGTTTGATCCCTGGTCCAGCCATTTGTTCCAACTCTTCTTGTGACGGACGTAACAGACTTTCCAGTTGGCTCAGATTCTCCGTCGGATCGGGATGGCTGGCTTCGCCGGCCCAGACAACCAACTGCACAGCTAACAGGCGTGCCAGATGGCGAATTTGCGCTGAAGTACCAGCTGCAGCAATCGGCGTATAGGTTGACTGGAAAGCGGCTGGCATTTGATCGGGGAGGGTGACCATACTGGAAGTAAGCAGGAGTATGCATATGACAGCAGTTTTAATCTTCATTTCACGGGGTAGTCTAAAGGGGGTGGGAGGTGGATGATTTCCCTAACGACGAAGGATAGAGTTGTGAGGGCGTACAGTTACACACGTTCCCACACTTTGTATAAATCACCCAAAAATGACTGATTTTTCATAAAATCCTCGCGTTTGTTTAGTTCAGGTGTAAATACACTGACATGGTGCAACTGTTAATAAATACATGTAGTAAAAATGTGCCACGTGGAAAGTCGCGGAACGATTTCGTCATGATATCCCTTTGGAAATGCACGACAACCGCACTACATTGCTGGAGGCCATAGTCAGCAGAGTTAACCAATCAACCAGTCAATCAATCAACCAATTTATCAGCTATAATCCGTGTACCATAAGCACATTGGTTCCAGCTGCTGCAGTTTTGATCACTGGAAAACGGTAGAGTGTGGGACATGCATCCAAGCCTTGGAGTGAGGACATGTTCGGAAATTAGGTAGCATCCGGTGATCCTGACACAAGGGTTCGTGGTATCTACGGTGTGGGAATTGCACTCATCCCCAAGGCTAAAAGCGTCTTACTGGACTGGACCCGAGTCACCTATGCGCTGTCCGGTGGTCTGGTTCAATTAAGATTAACGCAGATCGATGCGGTAAACGGCGTTTGTTTGTCGTATCACCGTATGCTCCCAACAGATGGCAGTTCTGAGACTAAGAGGGGCGAGTTTTATCAAGATCTGTCACGACTGCTTCGGTCGGGCAAGAAGGACTGACATAGTAATCCTGGCGGGTGATATGAATGCCCAAGTTGGACGACTAAGTCCGGAAGAAGCCCAGTTGGTTGGTAAATTTGGAGTCGATGCTAAGCGTACGGATAATGGAGAGTGGATTCTTCAGTTGTGTGCGGATCATCGTCTGTTCCTGGCCAGTACGAACTTCCAACAGAAACGCTCACACTGAGTTATTTCGGAGGCCACGCACCACAAAACAGTCATGAACCATGCGGCTATCAATTACGAAAGGAGAGCCTCAGTTAAGGATTGTCGTTCCTTCTGGGGTAAGCAAACTGACTCTGATCACGCCATCGTGCAGGCCCGCTTAACACAAGCAAGCACCACGCGTGTCAAAAGAGAGCAGTTCCCGTTCGTTAACTTCGACAAGTTTCAGTAGCTAAAGAGTATCGAGCTAATCTGGCTAGAAAGCTATTGAGAACGCGCAGTCACGTAGATGACGAAAACTGCTTGGAGGTTGAATGGAGGCGAGTTAAAGGGGCAGTGCTTTCAGCTTCCAGAAACGTTTGTCCAACCCATCTGACTCGACACAATGAACACTGGATATCTTCGAAATCGGTAGATCTTATTGGTGCCAAAAAGGCCATACCAGCAAATCTTTACTAGGGCGACGCACGCCGATCCCTCAAAAGCTTGGTTGTGTGTCCCGCTTTTGGGTGATCAAAACTGCATCAGCTGGAACCAATGTGCCCCTGGTAACTGGATTGTAGCTGATAAATTGAATAAATTGAATTGAATTCTACGTTCATTAAAAGCGTTAATGTCAGAGCACCTGCGACAAGCAGCTTTGAAACAACACCTACCTAAGCAGCACCAAATCGGCCACATTAGCCGTGGTCAACCGAGGCACGAGTCGATTTGTGACGAAATCCACCGAGGGCAGCTCGGCTTGAAGTTGACCGAGTTTGCCACCAGCCACTGACATTTTCCCCGCATCACCCGTTGCAGACACCGCGGAGGCGCTTGTTGAAACCACAACAGATGTTGCGGTCGATTGTCGCTTAGCACGTGGACGGCGAGAACGGATAATCTGTATATCATCCTCATCGTCATCATCATCGTCGTCAAACCTGAGGGCGGCTTCAGCCTGGGAAAACAGAGCAAGCATGGTAAGGAAGGATAACAAACTGGTGAACCACTCTGAACGCTTTGTGTAAGCAACTACTGTTACTGAAGAAACACGTTCTGGTTAAGGAGTCTACAGTGCTCCTTGATTAGACCTATCCACCAGAAAAGATCATCTACGCATACGCAGGAACGACATACGGGACAGCTGAATCCGCAAACCATCGCTTTACCCACAACAATCCGTTTCAGCCTCAGCAATTGGATTGAGACAGAGCATGTGGAAACAGGCGGCCGCGGGATTGCTAGAAAAAACGCACAGCTGTAGCACACTTCAAGTGCCTAGCTGCCATGCCACCCGAGGGCAGCACGAGGGCTGGAATACTGCCAGGTTGCTCAAGCCTAGACAGGAGAAGTCGAGAGACAGAGGTCGGGTCCGAAACATGGACCTTCCGGTCAGTAAATTCGCGCTCTAACCACTTGGGCCATCTCGCTGGAATTAGCGCCCACATCACTCACGTTCGATAAATCCTCCGCCTGTCCTGGCACAATTATTCTGGTGAGTCCACATCAAATAGAATGCACTGAACTCGATTTCCACTCTTATTAGAGCTCATCGGCAGTGTATATCTTTGGCCATGCCGGGGCTTCAATTCCGGACATCTGACATACGAGGTGAAACTGCTACCGCTACTCCACCAGCGCATGCTGGACGCATCTGAATCATCACATCTGACCACCAGGACAGTTACTGGGTCGATGGACAGACCAATCACATCGCTCAAGCATGAAAACGACATCGCCTGTTCAGATGTGACCATTCAGTCGGGTCCTTCCTCAACACGCAAAACCTCAAGGAACAAAGGCACTTTTTCCCTTCTGTTTTTGGTGCCATCTTCAGATGTTCCCGTTAAGGGGAGAAAATGCTTTCGGTTCAGGCAAGCCATCGGCAAGGAAAGTGAGAGTAAAAAGCCTTCAACCGGGTAGCTTGAACATCCGTTGAATTTAAAGACATGAAATCACCAGAAACAATGGGGATCTATCCAAACAATCAAGTGGGGTTTCAGGCACCAGTAAGACTCTAACAACCAGATGGGAGTGTCTCAAAGGTTCTTGAGCCGAAAAACATATATGGTGCCCGGTCTTCATTGCGAAGACACTGGAAATCGACGCGCAAACTAGCGGAATGGTTTCAGAAGGGTCTGGTGAACAACCGATGGAATTCCAGGCATCTGAAAGATGGATGCTTATGTTCCAGACGTGCAGTGGCACGACAGCACGCAAGAATGGCCAACTACGCCGGCCAAACCATTGGCGAGAAAGCGTTGGATCCATCTTCCACTTGAATGAAGATAATACCTTCGATAAACCACTGAAATTACGTCAAATTGTGGCTTCTAATATGAACAAACAGTCGTTCAGTTGCAGCACTGATTCGGCGCGTTGTGCGAGTCTAAACAGGGTCAGTCGAAATGCCGGAGTCGGGTTCCAACCACGGACCTTCTGGTTGGCAGTTTTGTGCTTCAACCATTGAGCGATCGCGAGTTCTACGGAAAAACACCTGTATATAAAGCGTAAAAAGACCTGTCCGCCCCACTTCCGAGGGAGTGCGCTCCCGAGAAGAAGGCGATTTTGATCAGTAGCAAGGATGCGTATACTATATACATCGGCGCGGTTGAAGATTAATGACCAAGCGCTGAAGGCTAAAGGTTTGAGGGCGATTCAAGAATCATACGATAAATATATTCCAGGTCTTCACAAAAGATAAACTACAAGAGTAAACTTCTTAACATCACCGAAAAACCCTCGCGAATCCACACTTAGGAATGTTTACATCAGCCATCGAGAAGTTCGCTTGTCCAGCCGAGCGAGGATCGATGGATGTGGTGTGTAGTGAACTGGGTGGTTGGATTTTCAAGGTGACACCATCTGGATGAGTTGATACAGCAGAGGGATGAGCAGCGGAAATTCGGCTGGAATTGATGGGACTCGTGAGCTGAGTTATTGGAGGGGGCCGCCCCGCTAGATCCGGTCGTATGGCTGACATTTGGCGCATGTCCACATCGCCATGGTCAGTAGCTTCCGATTCTGAGGCCCCGGGTGGAAGAAGGTGACGGAAATCGGAGGGTCGCTGGAGGGCTGCGACAACCTTGAACACAAAAAGGGAACGTTTTGTTGTGGTCAGCATTCAACGCTACCTTTATCTAACTATAGAGAGAAGGTAGTTTGTTGCAAACGTGTATAGATCTTTTTGCAGCCTGCTTAACGAGACAAGATATGTCGAATAAAATCTGGGAATAGAGGTGTCTGCCCGACCGATAGTTGCCACGCTAATCTTAGGAAGTGTACGGTAACTGAAAAGCCTCTACCGCTGAGCCACTACAAATTCGAGATGTTTCGAGTGACTCATCCGAAGAACGCTGTCTCCAGCCGCCGGACGATGCATAAAGGGGTTCATTTATCCTCGATCAGCGGAAGACCGCAGTACCTTTAAAATCTGTAAATACCTACAATCTAATCACCGGCAGATCGAGGTCGAGTATTTGACTGGGAGGCTTTGGTCAGAAATGGCAACCGTCTTTCTCTATGAGTTTGGGCGCTGTCATCATCATCATCAAAGACAGCAAAATCGGTGTTGGCACTGATCTTTCACTGCCGCACAACCATAAGATTCGTCTAGTTTATATATATATATATATATATATATATATATATATATATATAT